GGTTGGCCCTGGCGTGGGTCGTTCTGTCTTGTTAGTGTGATAGTTAGGTCTTGAAAGGAAGAGGTAGCAATGTTGTGCAAGTTTAGTAAGAATGTATTTTTTGCCTGCAGTTGTGTATCAAATGCGGTTTGAATTTCGTGTGATGGTGTACTGTAGAGTCTGCTCTCAAGTCCAAGATATGCTCGCATATCTAGAATGTATTGGCGCAACCAGCGAAACACACCAAAAATCGATGTTTTTAATAGCATATAGACATTTCCACAGATGATTTAAAGACCCAACAATCGAGTATAATCTTATTTAAAGGTCTCTAATTAACCTAGTAATTTTATAGAATCTCAATAGTTGATGATTCTGAATAGGAAATATATCCACATTGCCATTTACAGTAGATTAATACCAAGGGGCACAGAATCCTGAGAGCCTTCTTATCTCCTCTGATATTGTGTACGGTGTATCTACGCACCAGAAGGAGTCTAAAGTCAAGTTATGGGCGTTGGTCATAAGGAATGAGCCCAAGAGTAAAAAAAGGTATGTTTTGCTAGTTGCGCCAATACATACTAGATATGCGATTATATCAACCGGGAGCGTTCTCCCACCAAGGTCTATGAAGTGAACACATCAAAGAGCAAAGGGACAGCGTTGAGCGTACTGTGTAGCCCCTTTACGCCCGAGTGACATACCGAGTGATAGTTCATGAATCACTCGCTCAAATAAAAAAACAGGACTTCCTCTTTTTCCTCTAAAAAGTGTCGTCGTAAGAATCTCCCATTTCAAACTCAAATAATATAGCAAGCTGCTACTCACCCTATATATATATATAATATCAATTCCCCCAAGCCCGTACGCGTACCCGTACAAAAAAAGAACAAAAGGTAGTATTACTGGTCGCCACTACCCCCACCCTGGGTTGAACCCTGGACCTTCTGTAGGCGAAGGCAAGGCACAACCTCTCGGTGTTCCGGGGGCGAGTGCTAACCGGTAGACCACTCGCCCATGTGTGTTTGCGATGGGAAATGATCTCTGAACGTTCGTGCCAAGACCTCAGCGATAAGCAAGGGGTTCCCAACTCCACCCCACCAACGCGCAGACAGCATCACGCTAAACAGCCCACCCCTGCACGTGCTTGGGTAAAAAAAGTTTCCCAACCCGCACGCACCACTGGCGAGTGACGGCCCGAGGAGGAAACAACGCTCACACTCAGTACTCTCACGACTCCCGGCGGGAAAGGGAAGAAGAAGGAAAAGGAACACCAACCGCAATTCTCCAGTCCGCGAATTGCTCACAACGGAAATAAAGATGCTGTCTTCAAAGACGATCATGAGGATGCGGAACATGCCGCAATTGCAGGCTCTGGCGGGCGTGAGGATAGCTTCACGACAGGTATGTGGAGGTGGTGGAGATCTGGGAATACAGTCTAAGAGGTAAATATATGCTGAAGCCCCATGGCCCGCAACAGTTTTCCTCCGTGAGAATACCCCACCGACCTCAATTCGCTCCCACCATGGGCCGGAGCACCAGCCTCACCGCCCTCCGCTTCAGCTCCACGCTCCCCACACCCACAACCACATTCCCCTCCCCCACCAATACCCTCCCGACGCCCACCGCCGTCGCCGGCGCCGAACAGGCAGGCACAATCCCCCGCACACCTCTACGCTCCCCGACTACATCCCGACTGCCGAGTCGCTGACGCCCAACCTCACCGCCCCGGAGCACATTGGTTACCTGCAGTCGCTGGGTCTCGACTACGGCTGGGGCCCCACAACGTGCATCCAGCACCTGCTCGAGAACATCCACGTGTGGAGCGACACGCCCTGGTGGGCCTCCATCATGCTCACCGTGGCCACCATCCGTATCGCGCAGTTCCCCTTCTACCTGCGCATGTCCGACACCACCGCGCGCATGAAGGAGCTCAACCCGCAGGTTGTCGTCCTGACAAAGAAGATGCGCGAGGCCCAGGCCCGCGGCGACACCGTGGCAATGGTCATGGGCAGGCAGAAGGTCAGTGCCCTGTACAAGGCCGCGGGCGTCAATAGGCTCTGGATCGGGTTCCCGCTCACGCAGCTGCCGCTCTTTTACGGCTTCTATAAGAACTTGTATGGCATGGCCGAGCTCAAGGTGCCGGGCTTGGTCGAGGGTGGGAAGTGGTGGTTCCATGACCTGACGGTCTGCGACCCGTACTACATCCTCCCGCTGGTGTCGTCCATGTCCATGGGGCTGCAGATATACCTTGGTGGCGAGGCTGGCGCGTCGATGCAGACGAGGAGGATGAAGCAGGGGATGGTCCTCATCCTGCCGCTGGTCTCGTTCCTGTTTGTGAGTAGCTGGCCGGCGGCGCTGACGCTGTACTTCTTCACCAATTCGACCTTTGGGCTGGCGCAGGCGTTGGCGCTGCGGAATGTGTGGTTGAGGGAGAAGTTGGGGCTGTATCCATTGAACCCGACGGCGCCGAATCCGCTTGCGCAGGGCCCGAAGGAGGGGCTGAATGCGCTGAATATTGCGACGAAGCCGGGGAAGGTGATTGATGTTGTTGGCACGGTGTCGGCGCAGAAGGAGAAGAAGCAGATTGGAGGCAAGGGTGGGTTTTTGGACAGGATCACGGGAGGAAGTGTGAGGAAGGATGGCAAAAAGAAGACTATCACGGACTACATCCTTGGTGAAAAGGTCAAGGGTGAGGAGGGAGGAATCGGACAGATGCTGAATGATGTGAGTTAACTGTGTTCCCCTTTGTTCTTCAAGATGGAGAGAAACTGACTAGAAAAACAGAACAGCGAAACGAGCATGCATAAAAAGTATGAAGAAAAGAGGGAGAGACAGATAAAGAAGGAGCTGGCCGCTCAAGAGGAGAAGAGAAGGAGGATCCTGAAGCTGTAAGCAGGAATGAAAACCAATGTAAAAAGTGACTGTGTTGGGACTGTATAGATATAAGAAGTAGGTTTTAAATAAACTTGGCGCTAGCTACTTTTCTGCTCAAACCATCTTCACGGGTGCTCACTTCTATCCTAGAATATCAGTGATTACTTCGGAAATCAACCTCCTAGTGTAGTGGGGTTGTAGTGAAGTGCCTGGTCAGACACAAGTAGCTCCGGAGGGCCCTAAATCTTCGAATTTACCCGGTAAAAGGATCTCTCAGTACAAGGGTCGAAACTCCCAGTAGCGTCAGTCCTAAGCAATCAGTGATGTGTTTTCAGAGCCTTGGCAGATCGCAGATCTAGAAAGAAGCAATATGTGATTCACTCCTCCTGGCAGGTGTGTTCTTAACCATCCGTGTATTTTGAAACTTCAAGATCACACCGGGCTCATTGGATGTAGGAAGGACTGCACGTGACCCATTCACGAGATATCACTCGAAGACCGCACCTACTGCCTTTGAAGAATAAAGCCCATGTCCTCAGTAGGAGTAAAGGTAGAGTGATGGGCATTAAGGAATTTGATGACTATGTTCGAAGTATCCATACAGCCTGTAGCGCAGGGACCATATGTAGTGTTGCGAGCTAGCCACGCTAGAAAAGACTACACTTGCCATCAGTAAGCAGTGAAGCGTTTTGATCGTTCTCTGTAGAGCGATGGGGATAATTCCAGCAGTTCGCCATGATTCATAATGAAGAAATGAAATGTTAAGGGTTCTGCTTCACCGGCTTGGTACGCCGCCAAGCTCAGATATCACTTCTAACGCAGCATCCACCGTGGGTGGGTGCTCTAATAGTTAAATTGCTCGCCCGGCGAAGACACCGTGTTTACCGGGGGTATTTCGAGGTCCTGGATTCAAACCAGAGGCGGGTAGTAAAGCCAATTAAGTAAGTCATTACAGTACATTTTTTTCTTTCTTTTCTTCTTCCATGGTGAATTGAAATAAATTAGGGGGCTATTCCGATTTTGATTTCTCCAGAGGAAGGGTGAGAGTAGTGGTTTTGGAAATCGACTCCCTTATTACAGCAAGTTTCCTAATACTTGGCTCAGAAAGCGTTCTCAACTCATGGTACAATTCTCGAAGGATAGCCTATATAGGCTATCTGGGCAGTTGAAATTACCTTTTCGGGAGAATATCGGGCTCGGGCTTCCTAAGTAGGCTATTATTTAAAGAATCACACTATGTGTGTGAAAGTAATTTGAGCCTAGTATTATTGAACTTGCTGTAATGGCCCTCAAAGGCCTGATGTCTTTGCACTGCTCTCGGGGCGATCTAGACCGAGCAGACTTCTGTTTTCACCATGTGTTATTGCAGAGTACGCATACCGAAAACTGTGTCGTCTTAGACCTTTTCCATGTAAACAAAGATGATCTGGTTCGAGAAAACGGCCAGAACGTAACACTTTCTACACAAGCAGCGAGGTTTTGTAGCAATGCGGAATTGGTCAAGGCGTCCAGTAGTGATGGGAATAACAAGATCTGTCATTTGTAGCTGTAGTGGAAGGTAAGTTCCGTAAGATGGAATGATCTGAAACTGAGGAGCGTTCTGAAACTCTGTTCTAGCTCCGTCGGGCCTAAAGTGCGGGGACGGCCTTCAAGTGATTCAGGTCTATAACATGAAGATATACATTGTTGAAAACGCAGCTAGGCGATTGAGATCGCGGAATATGCAACATCCATAGTAAGTTCTTTCCTCCAATATGGACTTATATGCCGCGGCTTGTGTCTCGTTCTATAGAATTGTGCTTCTCGAGAGATCTAGATATCTAATTGAATTGGTTATTACATGTTATAGCTTCATGTCAATAGAATCACTGGTACATTTTATTTTTATCTTGTTTATAAGAGACATGATGCGAATGAATCACTATCACCAGAAAAGGTTCCTATTATCCTAGAATCATAAACGATCACGCAGTGGTCCAGATTTGGAAGGCTGTCGAGCAGGGATTAGGATAAGCGCGATAATGCATGCCAGCCAGTTAAGCGCATCCTTAACGCGTCCACCCCGTGTCCTTTGTTTATCCCCCTCTTTATCCAAACTTTCGCCTTGCTATTCACCCTCATTTCGTTTTTCTGGTGCACCGATTATGGCCTCACTAGATTCATCTTCGCCGATAGCTTCGCTAATTTCGTCTTTGCTACCAACGTCAATTTCTCTGACGCTACACCACCTTTCAACACCCCCCACAAAAACCTCATCCCTCTTCTCACCACCTCCGGGTCAGAAAGCTCCCACTACTACACTCGAAACCCACTTCCTGTCTATTTCACACGATGGTATCCTTGTATTCGCAATTGAGGTGCTGATATACACCATTGCAAGAACGGGCAGCAGGACATTCTTTGTTAGTAAGGCCGACAGCAGTGGATACCTCTCTCTCGAGCTAGCATCCTTCACGACCCCTACCGGCGAGCGCAAATCAACACTGCGCACCATAGCAACAGCATTCGTTAGGCATCTTTTTAACTCCTTCCGAGAAGCTGACCCCTCAATCACTGCAACTATCTCCCTCTTCGCACGCTCGCAAACACAGTACCTTTTCCCGAACTCGGCTGTGAATGAAAAGAAACATGTTCTCACAGACAGAGGACTGATCGCCTGGTGGTGCAAAGTCCTCGATCCTATCCTACAAGAACACGCCTCCTCCGGCGCAGGTGGTGCAAAAGGGTATCTCATAGTTCCTGGTTTTGACCGTCTTGAAGTTCGCCCGCTGCTACCACCTGTGCCTTCGGCGGGGCAGGAGCAGTGGGTAAATGGCCACCCATACAAACTCGATGCAGAAGCAGATATCACAGTACGAGAGGTGATCCCGCACTTCCCAGATGACCCGAAAGCTAGGTTTTTGGACGAACTTGGGAGCGACGAAGCAAGAGATAAAGCGAAAAGAGGCCAGGGCTGGAAGAATGTGCGTACAATCGAGCAGTTCTGGGAGCTGATGAGCTTTCGGCAGGAGTGCAGCCTTGGAAGATGTGTAGGGTTCTTATGGGTTGTTCTGGACGGAGAAGGGAAGGCAAAGGTTGAAAGAAGGATTAAGCCTCTTAGAAAAGCATCGTCTTCATCTTCATCTTCATCCAAGCAGATGTTGAAGTCCGAAGGGTCCGAACTACCACCCGATGTGATAGCCGAAGAGTCTGGAAAGGAGCCTAAAAAATCTATTATTCCCCCACTTGATACCTCAGGGGCAATAAAACCAGAATTGCAGCCTATTATCACTACTATCAGTACAGATACAGCACCAACCTCTGAATTCACCTCACCGGAACCCTTAACACCTTCAGTTTTCTCTCCAACTCTTTCCCCCACGTCTCCTACATCACCCCGTAAGTCCAACAAACGCCCGTCCACTTCCAGTGCCGTCCCTCTATCCCCAACTAAGAAGCTCCGTACTACAAACCCAATTCTCCAACCTACTATTAGTCTCACAGCACCAGTAAAACCATTGATTCTCTTGGATGAGAAACAATACACTCGTGTCATCGACAGCCTCTTAAACCATGCCGACTTTGGTGATAAAGAGAAGGCCCGCAGATCCAGCGTCAAATGGCTTGAAGGCGCAGCAATAGCCGCTGGTAAGGAAGGCGCTGAGAAGGAATCATGGGGCGTAGACTTAAAAGGTCTCATCGAAGTTCAGAGTTCAAATAAGGATAAATCGACTGTTCCGGGCGCTCCGGGAGCCATTAATGTGCTCAGTGTACGTAAGAAGCCCAAACCTACAGAAGCCGCTGTCAATACGCTTCCGACATCCCTTATTCGCAGGAAATCCACGGGGACGGTCCTGGCCACGGAAGTTGCAAAGACAACTGCCGAGGTGGAGAAAGAGGTGGATGAACAGGGGAGATCTGTGAACGTACTAGGTGCGGGGCTGTTGCGTAAGAAAGCGAAGCCTGCTACGGCGGAGGAAGCCAAAACTGATGGAGATCCAAAGTCCACGGGTGAGACGGAGAGGCTGAAGAAAAATGAAGAGGCTGAAGCGGAAGTTGACAAAGATGGAAGAAAGGTGAATATTCTGGGGAAAGAGTTTATGAGGAAGAAAGAAAAGGCTGCGGAAGAAACCGGAGAAAAAGAGGCCCATGATTGAGCGACTTTCTTGTATAATCGTTTTGATTGCGTTTTGCGCCTGATCCTAGTATGGAGCTGTTGGTCGGAGTTTCGGGAAGAAAAAACAAAATTGAGATTCGAGGGGATCGGACACTGCATGTATCTGATCTTTGGGTTAAATAAAACAAACGGACCAGTGCTCTACGGCTTCGGAGCTATATGAGTGTAGAGAGTGGCATTACGTGTAGATCCCTTCATTGACCGTTAATCAACCTTAATCTTAATACATTTCGTGCTCTGGGTCTGACCTAGGGCTATTGACAATTACCCTTTAGCTGCTGCTACATCTGCTGATTAATAGAGAAAAGGGGGGTCTTGTAGAATGTGAGTTTCCTATTGAGGTACGTAAAATGATCAATGATATGGTTTGACACTTTGAGATTAAGCATTTTATTTGGTTGCTAGGTCAATGTTCGTTTAACAGACAAGTACAACCGAATACCGAGTGATACCTTGTGATTCAAAAATGGTGCGTGATCATTCATGATCCAGAAGGCTGCGTAATCCTTTATAATTCTAGATGCCAACTAACTCCTTAACTGGAGTTATAATACAATATTTTTGGTTAATCGGTTAAAAATAGTAAATACAAGTTTACTTGTATTATACCCGTCGCTTACGTTCGTTTGTCGCGACTCATGACTGTCAATGATCTGTCTACGTGTGTAACAACTATCATTACCACCATGAGTACGCAAAACATCTCCCGCCCCACAGCGTTAATAAATTCATGTATCTCACAAGAGCCTTACTTAGAACCACAAGCCTTTATTCTAAATTAATTACTTCTTGAACAACCAATTGGCAATTAATACTATTGCCACACGATGAGACTGCTCATGAGATTATAAACTAGAGCTTAGGTAGCAATTTGACTTGAGGAGAGATTGTAACCCGATTGAAAGGACTAATATGATCGACGGAACAAGAAAAAAGCAGGAAAAAAGGTGGGGACTTTACGTGATAAACCACGCCCTAGAGGGATAGCTTGCCATATGATGTATTGACGAGGGGGCACTGCTCCCGCTTGAATAATGAGCCTACTAGCTTTCCGTCCCCGGGATAAGTCAATTTTTATTAAGGTTATGACCTTATGTCCTCCCGGATATTTGTCTGCCTGACATTGGGATATATAATTCACTTACTCATTGATATTATCAGTACTGGGTAGAAAATCACTATTTAAGGCGTCGTTTCCCGGATCCCCCACCAACCCCTCTCAACTTCTTCTTCCTCACCAGAGATCCAGAGACTATCAGGAATCATTCCTCAATTTTCATCGATTTGATAAAGTTCCTTCACAGGATATAGAAAATTCCTTCAGATATTCCTACACTGGGCTATATTCCATCATCGAACACTCTCTCGTATCTCTTTAGATCTCGTAAGAGTACTCACATCCCTAGTTCGATCTTCACGAGAGCATTTCTCCCTCTCACTACCTCCTGAATTACCATAATCTCGTCTACTTCCTTCATCATCACGTCTCCTCCTAATCCTAATTATCTACTACGTGTCAATCATTTCTAAAGAATCTCTTCCACTACTAGACCTGTAAGTTCTTCAAAACTTATTCTCTTACTAAGTTTGCTCTCTTACAAAAACTTATCACATACTACCCTTCACCTCACTAAATCGTCAAAGAACAGAAAATATCATCATGCCGTATATACTCGCACCGACCATGCGTTCTCTGAGTCCAGATCAAGACACTACCGATGAGGATAACGGTAAAAGGTTATGGTCGTATAATCTCGACAATTTGTTGAGACAAAAAGGCCTCAAGCAATATATCAGATCCATCTACAGATGCATTGCGTCCAAAATTGGATACGGTATTCCTCTAAGTAAAAGGCTCCAGATCTACATCAACAAGGCCCAGGAAAACCCTGATCAAAAGGTGGCACTACTTATTCAGCTAGTCGAAGGTAGCACTTTGGAAGCGGAAAATCTTCTTCCGATGATTCAGCCGTTGCAGCAACTACGGTTTAGACATCACATACACGGCTTTCTGTCCACAAAAGATGAAACACAAATGTTTGAACTTTTGAATGCAGGCGATAAGCTTGTCGAATCCGTTGCCGAAGTCCATGATAAGGTACTTGCGGAGCTTATCGGTGGAGTGCACCTACGCCGCGACCAAGTTACTCAGATGAGACGGCTTTGGTTGGACGTTGAGCTAAGAGTGGAGGAATTCTTGACTGAGAAGTATCTGCTTCTCGCGAAATTTAAGGGAGTGACTATTATCTCTAGTCAAGTACACCCGTTGGTGAAGATACTTTTCCTTACTATTTTAGCTTGTCTCATCATTTCGCTCGGCTTTATGATCATTCCCACGGCCCGTGAAGCGATGCTTGACGGTGGGGAAGGCTGGGTCGTTTAACCGTTGAATTTTTACATACCCGGGAGGTATGTATGCTGCTTGCAGATGGTTTTTTTTTACCACTGTAGGCTTAAGCTTTGAATAGTGTCTTTCTTTTTTCACCTACAGTTGCGATATACATTAATGCTTCATACTCACGATACATGTACTCTTTTTTCGATTTCATTTACCTTTGCTATTTATATTGATGGCAATAGTTAGATACACGCTTCGCTTTCATGTTTTATTTACTTTCGACATTGCATTCACGTTAATGTGTCATGGTTAGATATACAAACGAGTGTTTTTCTTTCACTTTTTTTCTTTTCTTCTTTTCTTTCTTAGTTCGTTCACTTCTGCTATTTACCTATATTAATGCGTTTTAGTGGGATTACACACATGTATTTTCATTTCTTCTAGTACAGATCAGTCAGATTTCAACTGTACAGATAGATATTACTCTATCTTTCTAGCAACTTTATTGTCGTTGAGAAGAATTGAAAATATTTCTCTCTTTATATTCAAGCCTAGCTAAATCTACCAAGAGAAACCGAAGGTTCATTTTAGGTGAGCGTTGTGGTGCGGGCTAGTTGTAACTGTGTCAGGAGACGGGTCAGTGATAACATGGCTGAACTAGGTCAAGCAAATCTGTCCTGTTAGCGAACCTGTATAAAACAAAGCTACGGCATAAGAACAAAAAAACCATCATCATCCTCTAACCATAGTGGAACCTTAATCACGAACGTCAGCCTGAAGCGTTTCCTCTGTGTATGTACTGTAAACTATAAATATATACATCAAAGGGGCATAGTCTTTTCATCGCGTCACAGTCAACAAGTATGAACCCGGAACCTCTAGGCCGGCCATATATGTCAATCAAGGGAAGATTTGGCATCGGGCCTTGGGTGGACGTCAAGGCACATTAACCCCTTTCACACTACTCTACTGGTACGTGTCTTGTCTAATAACGTACGATTGGTTTTCTGTTTCTATGCGCCTTATACGCACCTGGCATTTTCTGCTGACTGCCCGACACTATATTATCTTCATGCGCGATCACTCGAATGTCTTGGCTTAAATATCTATCCCTACCCGGCACCCCCAGCATTGAATTCATTCTATAGAGATATAATAGAGTGGTTGGGAGTTACTTGTAGCCTCGGGAGGGCACAGGTTCTAGAAGGTAGAGGTACCCTACATGTATGCTCAATCTTTGCAAAGGGCTTCTGTCTTTATGTAATCCGCGTGTCTACAAAAGAGGCGGTGTAAAAACATGCCCGCGTTGAATATTTATTTGCTGTCTGCCAAAAAGTTAAAATATGTTCTCCGCTAAGAATTTATGAAAAAATACCTAAACATAGCTTTTCCGGCTCCCGTCCCGCAAAATTGCAAGTGGAAATCGGGGATATGGCCATACTCCCCGCTATAAAATAGTATTACTAGATACTTGTTTCCACGGTCTGTAGGTAGCTAGATTTTCTGCATATCACCACGCCGTCTTGGGCCTAATATCTCTCCCTTTTTCTCTGACGAACGAAGGGGTGTACTTCAAGGGATTAAGTATATATTAGAAGATTTCTGAATTTTACATATTTACAACTAGGATCATCGCCAAATCCATAATAGACTTGTCAACTACTTATATACACGCATGTAGCTACTTCCCATTTAGATTTCGTACTACATTTCATTACATGCTTTTTCGCGAGTATTCTGATCTATGTTCTGCAAACAGTGCGGATATTCGAGGGTTCACAAGACATTTTTCTAATAACTCGCTTTCCAATAAGAGAGTGACCATTTGTCTCTGACTCCCAACTCTTGCTCTATCAGTAGCGGTTTCTCGCCTACGGTTTCTGTCCGAGGCTTTGGCACCGCGGTCGATTAGAATAAGAGCTACCGCAGCGTGCCCAGCATACGCTGCAATATGCAGCGCCGTTTCTCCATCACCATTCTTCTTCGAAATATTCGCACCACTTTCGAGTAGCAGGGTTACCATCGCCTCATAACCTCCTAAGGCAGCGCAGTGTAATGGAGTTTCGCCGTCATGCTTTGCTGCCGACACCTGACAGTCCGCGAGATCTTTGAGAAGTGCTCGAGCAACCGACCCGTGCCCGGATGATGCAGCCTTGTGCAATGGCATCGTTCCATTCTTCGACAAGGCCAAACGATTGGCGCCGTTTTGAAGCAGAAAATCCACTATTATTCGATACCCCCCGAAAGCAGCTTTATGTAATGCCGTTTCGCCGCTATTCTTTGTGACTTCATCGACTTTAGCACCGCGTTCAATGAGTAACTTTACGACATGGTAGTGTCCAGCAGCTGCTGCTCCATGAAGTGCAGTATCTCCATCGGCATCGAAAGCAGAGAGAACAGCGCCCCGCTCAAGGAGTAGCTGGACTGTCGATTCATGTCCCGCAGATGCTGCCCGGTGTAGCGCCGTAACTCCGTACTTCGTCGTCACCGACACATCGGCACCGTTATTGAGAAGGAAGCGGACTACAGATGTATGCCCTCCATGTGCTGCTCTTTGCAGAACACTAACACCATATCTAGTTTGAACCCCAACATCCGCACCGTACTCGAGTAAGATTTTGACTACGCTTCTGAATCCTTCAGATGCTGCTTGGTGGAGGGCAGTCTCTCCGCCATTCTTTACTGCCGATGCTCCTACATCGGCGCCGTTTCGAAGTAGTAATCGTACTACCTGCTCATGTCCTCCTGATGCTGCGCTATGCAGCGCGGTTTCTCCATACGTTTTTGTTGCGGAAATATTAGCTCCTCCTTGAAGCAGTATTTTAACAACATCTTCGTGGCCCCCAGATGCGGCTTGATGGAGCGCAGTTTCTCGACTCTCTCCAGTGCTCAAGATGTTAGCACCCCGATCTAGTAGGAGCTCAACTACTGAACCATGTCCTGACAAAGCTGCCCTATGTAATGCTGTCATTCCATCCCGGGCCTTGAGAGCCGGACTCAAGCCCTTATCAAGGAGCAGTCGAACGACTTGCTCATGCCCGCCTGATGCTGCTCTATGTAGCGCTGTATCCCCGTCATATCCAACATCTGAGATATCAGCGCCTTCCTCGAGTAGCAGCTTTACAGTTGCACTCCAGCCGCCGGATGCTGCTGTAAGTAGCGCCTTTTCGCCATCTATAGTATCCGAGACCTTTATCCCTTTCTGGAGCAGTACCTTAACTATCGATGCATGGCCGGCATTGGTAGCACAGTGGATTGCGCTTTTATCGCCGATATTGGAGCCTATAACCTTTATATCCAGGTCTCCGGCGCCATTTTCTAATAGCAATTTTACTAAGGAACAGTGCCCCAGAGCTGCGGCAACGTGCAAAGGCGTTCGTTTTATATACCGAGTGTGGTACCCTAAGTTTTTTGAACACAGCTTTTGGGCCTTTAGAGCCTGTAAGTACGACGAGAGGCTTCCTGGATGCATGAAGAGTTTGAAGAGAGCATCTCTTGTGAGATCTTCGTTGCAGGACTGAAGGTGAAAGCCTAAGTTTTTGGCTGCGTAGTCCATGAAAGGATACAACCGGCGTCGAACTTCAAGTGATACCTCACGCCCGCAGGCTCCTCGAGAAAACTCATTGAATGAGAGAAATGTAATGCACGACATTGCAATATTCTCATCTGCGTTTTGGGGAATAACGGCGTTCGTCACAAGATACTCCTGCACAGATTGGTGTGATAGCCTAACGGTGTCACCATCGATTACAACCAGGCCGGCACAGGCATTGACGAGGGTTTCTTTATCTGGCATGTCGGATTCATCTATTTCGTGATTCCCTAGTTTGACTGATATAGCCTGTTTGAGTTCTTCGACGGTTAATGTTCGCTGGGCTTTGACTAGCCATGAAAGAGTTTCGATTGCCAATTTTACGTGGCTTTGTGGTTGGCTTTGAAGGAAGGTTAAAACCATGCTGTATGTTTGAGAGAGGACAGCCTTTCTGCTATTGGTGTATGGTTTGAGATTCTCAAGCTCTATAAAGACTTTTCGTAAAGTTGGCTGCTGGCAAAGATATCCAACGTGCAGATCTACCAGCAAGAATCTGTGATCAAGTCTGTCAGTAGAATATTGCAGAAGACATATGTAAATACTTCGACCTACAATCTTTGCGAATAGGTCTTGAGTATAGATACAATCACCTCTCTACAATGCCCTTTCTCAACTAAATTTCGAAATCGAGGGTTCTCATTGATCTTCTCCTTGATATAAAGATCGATATCCTCATCATGTGCCAAGATGGTGATTTTCCGCCCATCTTGAAATGCATCGAATATATCTCGATGCCCCAATGATAGTTCCACCCTGCTACTGATAAACAGTTTAAAACTCCCGCTGTGTGACATTCGGCGGATCAGCGGTATGAGTTCCTTTCTCTGCAGCACCGCATCACATTCGTCCAATGCGTCGAAGATAACGTAAGCATGGTCAAATGACTCGACAACAGTGAGGAGAAGGGTGAACAATTGCATGGTCGTGGGTCTCCTTTTGTCAGAATTTAGCTTGTCGTAGAGATCTGAGACCTCGATAGGGAGCTTTGGGAGTTGGTCACAGAACTGCTTGATCAGGCTTGTGAAGACTTGAGTGGTTTTTTGTTGAGCTTGGTCTTTGTAGTTGAAATAGATGTATGCCACCCCGACGCTTCCTTGTGGTGCGTGGTCCTTGATTTTGTCGATTATAAGAGAGCTAGATCCATGTGTTGTTAATTAATTGCATGATCGGGATACTCGCATCATAAAGAGTACCTCATGAAGGTCTTTCCAGCACCAGCTATGTCCAAAGTCAATATAAGTAACAAAACAACGAATGGACACACCAACCAACACTACGACCCCACAGCAAACTAGCCCCCGCATGATCAACCCATACTTTAACCTCGTGAGTTTCGAAGAACCACTTCCCAATATTATCGTCCCTTCGACTCCGGATTTCTCGGTGTCGTGTGTCATAAGCTTCTGGATATAGCCAATTGAGCACCTTTTCACGTTTTCCTCGAGCTGTTCAAAGGGTTAGCAAAGAAAATACTCTTATAGTTTCGGCTTCACCCCTACCAAGCACCTCAAGCTCATGATTCAAATCAATAGACAACGGCCTCTTCTCGCCCAACCTCTCCGCTATATGCGCATCAATGACTGCCGGCGACATTGACCTTACTTCGCGGTCAGCCCAAATATCCACAATTCAACCTCACCACACTCACAATTGATCCATCCCCGCCATCGCCGTCTCCCATAGTACCCTCAACCCCCCAACCCTTCTTCTATACTCGGTAACCTCATTACCTCCCCACCTTCTCCTCCTCCTCTCCCGCAACTTCTCCCTCAACCACATCATTTCCTTTACACATTCCACAATGGCACATCCAAACTGCGCCGCCCCAACCTCCCGTAGATTCACCACGCCAAGCACCCCCAGGACCCCACCGAGATCGTCGACGAGGCTCTGGAATCCCGCGGGGATTCGCAGCGTGGTGCTGAGGTGCTCGTAGCATAGTGAGGAGACGGAATTCGTGAGGTGGATGCAGGTAGTGAGTTGTTCATTAGTCGTTTTTCGGCCGGAGTTAGGCATGACGGGCAGGTTGGTCCTGTTGCTAACGGGTGGGGAGAAGGTGCTCTTTATATATCTAGGCTGAGAATGAGCAATCAGAAGTTGTCATGTTTTGAGGCTCAAGCGCTGTGTAACGAGCGTATCGTTGGCTCTCCCCAATGGGGGCCCGGTTATAAATAGTAAATCGTCATCGGGCTGCATGGGCTAAGAGAGACGGCATGCAGTGTTCTGCGGTCGTGTCGATACAGTATTCAGACGAATCGTTTCACTTTAACAATACCCTGGTCCCAATAAGTGATGCAACGACCATTGCTCAGCAATTGCGCCTGGAGAGATCAAGAAGATATGATCACTCTGATAGGCAAAGTCGTGGGGGTGCTTTCGTATTGCTCTCAAGCTAGGCCTAACGTTGCATCACTTATGGGGCCCCGGGTTAAATTGACCTGATGTTCTACTGTACCTACAGGTTAATTAGGCAGGCACTGGGCTCACTCTAAGTTGAACTGTGGAGACATTATCCCTAACCCTAGTCCCGAGTCAGACTTTATAGGATTACTGTGCCTCCTGCCACGATTCGAGCGAGTGATTACCCATGAGAATGATCACGTGCCGACTACTAATTGATGTGAGTTGCAAAACCGTCCGTTTGCAGCCTTTTTTGCTGTCAGTACTTGATTAGGTAGCAGGTGTTTATACTCTGGTTCCAAATGACTTGCATGGAAACTATCAGATCGGTAACACTTTCAATTCAATAGTCAGTGTCACGAGATGTTAAATTAAGTTTGGCAAGCCGCAAGAGAATATCGACTAGATAACTGTTCCACTGTGCGCCTTACTTCAGTTGTTTTGCGGTCTTTGCTATCAACCGTTATTAGTACTTTGCCAAGACAACAAGTTTGGTTGTCTTGATGATACGTGTTTATTTATCATGTCTTTTACTATAAAAGGAGTCTGTTCCTTCAATCATAATTCGGTTTTCATCAATCTCTCATAAAACCGCTATTCCCACTTAGACAGTGACATTAGTGATCTACACGGCACTAGCCAGAGCTGATCCCTACCGTGATCAGCGCCGGGGGTAACTTCTCCATTTCGTGCCAACACTCATGCAGGGACCTATCAGGCATCCTCACCCGACCAGCCAACCTCGCGCTCCCCTCCATAGAAGCGAATTCGCCAATCGAAAACCTCAATCCTGCGATCGTGATGATTGAAACTTTCCCGTGGCCGCTGTCATCCGCGATGAACAATGTGATTGGCGTCCAGACAGCTTAACATCATGTATTATATGCCTAACATTACGCAACAGCTAAATTGGCGTCTTCGAGAGTAGGAATGTTTACTCTCTCTCCATACGGTCGGCAGCTGCAGCTTCGCACTGTCTCAGAAAACGTGTCTTTTTTGTTTTTTCCCTCGGACATGTATCGCATTCTGTCAATAGTTCCGAGTGCCATGGCGCACTGATTCTTGGGGGATAGCTATATATATCTGGGGGAGGAACGTTCTTTCGGTGTCTTTAATTTGCGCCTGAAGATATCAACGAGCCATGATTCCATCACTTCCTAGATCGACTTCCTACTCGTCCGACTCGGACTTCCTCAAGTATGACGGGCTCCGCGCGCACCTCAAGCTGCAGAACATCGATTTCGTCACCGAGAACGACATCCACGCCAAGAAGAAGAAGAAGTTTAAGAAGTACAAGCGGATCGTTATCTGCTGCGACGGTGTGTGTGCGTATGGGGTTTACCCTTGGTCAAATCACTGACGAAGCGACAGGAACATGGCAGCGGTCGGATGGTGCCGAGAAGGCACCGCCATCAAATGTGACACGGCTGTCGAGAGCGATAAAGTCGTACTCGAAGCACGACAAGGTGCAGCAGATCGTGTACTACATGCGCGGGTAGGCACGAGCGGGAAACTCGATAAGGTTCTTGGTGGTAAGTTTCCTGCCTCAATTGTCCCAAACAAACTCGCACCCGTACACCTGTGCTAATGGGTGAGTTGTGATAATTTAGGTGGGACTGGTGTGGGGCTCGACGACAACATCCGCACTGTGTACGGCTTCCTCGCGCACAACTATCACAAGCACGATGAGATATTCCTGATCGGGTTCTCACGAGGCGCCTACACGGCGCGCTCCGTGTGCGGGCTGATCAGCGCCATCGGCGTGCTGACGAAGAAGGGGATGAACGATTTCTCGGAGGTGTGGAGGGCGTATACACGCAACGAGTACACGCCAGAGTAACAACCCCGCCTACTGCTACGCAAATAGAAGAAACCAAAAGCTAAATCAGCTTTCTTGTAATATTAGGAAGATCCAGGAACTGTGGGCCAAGGGCGAGAAGTATGTCATTCCAGTCAGGAAGGTGTGCATCAAAGCGATTGGGTGCTGGGATACCGTTGGAGCGCTCGGGGTCCCGTCGATAGAGATAAAGCTCCCTTTTGTAGGCAAGAAAAGGGTCACTACCGTAGACACGGGCCACAAACAGTATGAATTACATCACAAATCCCCCTATTTCAGAATCTTTATTAACTTTCTCAGGATTGGATTCCACGATGTCGGTCTCTCTGAGGTTGTTGAAAACGCCTTCCACGCCCTCGCCATCGACGAGCACCGAGGCCCCTTCACACCAACCCTATGGAAGAAACCCGTCGGCTCCAAAACAAACCTAAAGCAAGTCTGGTTCCCCGGCGTGCACACCAACATCGGCGGAGGCTACGAGAACCAGGAGATCGCCGACGTAACACTCGGCTGGATGATCCAGCAACTCAGTCCCTTCCTCGAATTCAGCAGAACCAATCTCATCGAAATCCTCCAGAACGATGTGCATGACGAGCTAACAGGGCTCAAGGACCCAATGCTTCAATGGGCAGGCGGGAAGATCGAGAACTCAGCGGATAACCTGCTGATGTGGCTCATGAGCGGGGTGCATAGATCGCCGGGGGCGTATCTGGACGAGGAGGATGAGAAGCAGGGGATGTGTACGCATGAGAGCATGCACAGGTCGGTCAGTATCAGGTACCGCATGGACCCGAGCTGGAGACCGGCCGCGCTCAGGGGATGGTCGTATGACGAGATTGAGGGTCGCTGGGACCACCTTGATGGGAGGTCGTTGAAGGAGGATTCGTTGGAGGCAGCTGAGAGGTTTCTGGCGGGGAAGTGGGTGATGGAGAATATGTGCTATGAGAAGTGGTCGCCGAATTGGTCGAGGTGGCGTTAAGTAGCTATGGGGCTTTCTTATGTTGGTTTGGGAAAAGTAATAGTCTTAATTTTTGGGAGGGCTCTGGGAGGGATCCGGAGCTCTGGTATTTATTTTGATGTATATTTTCAGTCTTTTCCTGTTGGATCTGTTGTAGGCTTGATAGTGTCTGTAGGTTTGATATTTGATCTTGCTTCACACATTTCATCTGTCTCCATATTCGGAATATGTAGCAGGCTAGTTATGCACAAGGCCAGCCACTATTGCTTGTTTAAGGGCCCCCAAAGCGCCGTCCAATCACAAGTGCCAGAATATCTCCCCACCCCAAACCGAACCAGAAACCATGAAGCACACCCGCTAGTCAACTCACACCCGCACACTTGTGCACGCCCCCACACGTCTGCCAAGCCCCCACTATCCCCTACCCGGTTAGCAAGCCGCTGTCTTCGATTCCAACCCTGACGATCAGGCCCCGAAAAAAAGTTTTTTAAAGCTAGCTTTGATCAAAATTCCCCGAAAAGCCTTCCCCTCCCCGCCCCCCGTGTCTGTTCTCCCCCCTCTCTCCCTGCATACCACATATTTTGCCATATAAATAGCCAGGGAGCTCCAGGAAGCTCCCTTTCTTCAATTCCTCTATTTGGTGTTAACAGCACATATGACGGACCATACGAGGGACCCTTGCCCCTGGGTTGTCCTCAACGACTTTGGGGGTGCGTTTGCTATGGGGGTGAGTGTTTTTCCTGACTTCTCCTTAATAATTGGGCTCCAAAAACTAACAGATCGTAGGCGGTCGGCGGTGCCCTCTGGCATGGTATCAAAGACTTCCGCAATGCACCTCCCGTACGCACTCCCCCTTGCCGCTATCTGTAACTCGCGAGCTATAGCTAACAAGACGGCTTCAACAGGGCGAGCGCCGCATCCACGCCCTCACCGCAATCAAGGCGCGCGCGCCCATCCTTGGCGGTAACTTTGGTGTGTGGGGCGGCTTGTTCTCGACGTTTGATTGTGCCGTGAAGGGGGTGCGGCAGAAGGAGGATCCTTATAACGCCAGTAAGTTTTTTCGGTTTTGTGTATTTTGGTGAGATGTGGGGGGTGGGGGACGGGGTGCTGATTGGGTGTGTGTGTGTGGTAGTTATCGCGGGCTTCCTGACGGGCGGCGCGCTCGCGGTGCGAGGGGGCGTGAAGGCGGCGGGAAATGGCGCGGTGGGGTGTGCGTGTTTACTGGCGGTTATTGAGGGTGTGGGGATTGGGATGAACCGCGTGGCGGGAAACAGCGGGCTGCAGAATCTAACGGTATGTTTTGAAGTTTCTTTGATTGAGTGGGGAGAGTGTGTGAGTTGGGGGAAGAGAAGGGAAGGGTGGTGAGGACGGTGCTGATGAAGTGTGTGTGCGTGATAGGTGCTGTCAGAGAGCAGCATGGTTGGGGTATTACCTGCATAAGTCCTGAGAACTTTACTTTCTGTTGAAAGTTTCCCGCCCTCTCTTTTTAGATCTCCTTTAGATCTTCTTTAGACTTCCTTTTTTCTTTATCACCCCCATCTTTTTCCTTTCGATTGGATCGTTTTTTTGTGATAGATCTTTTTTTCATACTTGGTAGGATTTGGAACACGGCGTTTTTTTGTTGTGTATGGTATGGTATCATACGGGTAGATTTCTGTTATAGATCTAAGCTAGTTAATTAGATAGCTATTAGACACTCCTTCTCTCATAGGCTGTATTAATTATAGATATAAGTATACACAGAGGATACGGAGACTCTTTAAGGTCTCGATGTGGATATGTTCTAAAATCGAGTGATCGAGCTGTTCTTTATGGTCCGGTATTGATTGCTGATTGTGAAGTGCTAGACTGGAGGGTAATCTATGCTCAGTTAATTGAGATGGCGTATCGATGTTGGATTCTTGGATGCTGCGTCCTTTCTCGAGAGTATGTGGTGAGGTATTCAAGCTTCTAGAGTTTGTGTTTGATGTTTATTAGCTGGCTTGAGACACCTTAGACGGAACTCTGGCTTGGATAGCTGTTCATTGAGATGTTGGAGAAGCCTGCCAAGACGGAATATTTCTCGAGTGATAGTTCATGTTTCCATTGTTTTTTTTTTTTTTTTTTTTTTTTTATTCATTAATTGCATGCAACCTTACAGTTATGGCAATATGTTTCCATTGTTTAAAAACATATCTTTAAATCACTGGCAAGCTTCTTGCCGTCCCAGAATCCCTTCGGAGGCCCCCCGGTGCTGAAAATTACAGCTTTGAGCTTATTAGCAAGCAGTTTTACTGTTTTGCTCGAGGTGGACTTTTTGATTAATATCTACCTTTGATTAAACTACATGTAGTCTATAACTGTCCACAGCAGGCAGCCATCTAAAAACGGCCCATCCCATAGCCATCTACGGCCCAGAAGCACCCCCCTCCACATCCACCCACTTCCCCTCCATCGTCCTCTTCACAACCCCCCACCCCCTTGCCACCACCAACGCCTCCACCCCACCCGCCCACCCCGCCTCCACATCCTGCCACCCCACTCCCCTCCCCGTCGCCCTCTCCACCACACCCCCTTCCCCGCCCTCCTCCTCCCTATACTCCAGCCTCCCCCCACTCAACAGCCTCACCGCCTCACCAACCTCCACAAGCTCCGAATCATACCCACGCTCATGCGCGCCGACAAAATGCGCGCCGTAGTCCGCCGCCCGCATCGCGTCCGCAGGGATCGTGCACAGGAACCAGAACGCCACGTACAGACGGAGATCATCCAGCTTCTCTGGCAGCCGCCGTGGGCGGCGGAGGATGTGGGGCAGGGCCTGGAGGTGGAAAGCTTCGGTGTGTGGTGTACTAGCGCTAGTACCGGTACCTCTGGGTTGTAGGGTTACGTGGGGGTACGGAGGAGCGTAGCGGCGTAGCCGGCCTGGAGTTACTGTGTTAGCAGATTACTTCATATACGGTGCAAGGGTGAGCGGGTATACCTCTTCAAGCGTCTCCCGCACAGCACAGGCCTCGATGCTCTCGCCGACGTCTTTGCGGCCGCGGGGAAGAAACCAGAGGCAGCTCTCGCGCGGGGTGCCGGGACGTGTACGGGAGGTGTCTTGGATGATGAGGACCTTGCGGGTCGAGGGCTGGAATGTGGCGGTGCCGGCGGCGAGGACGAAGTTGCTGGAGGGCCAGTGGGTGCTTGGCGGCGGGGTGAATGTGGTGGGCTCAGACATGATGCAGGTGGGGGTGTTTAGGTGTGCATGCAATTTTGTACAGGAGTCTTCGGCTGGTGTGAGAAGAGGGGGAGAGTTCAGATTGGTGTTGGAGAGCCCTTCATGACACGGGGCGTTGCAGGGCGTGCGGGCTCAGTCGTGGCCGCAGTAGAATATTAATTAACTGGAGCTCGGATCATTTCCGTTCTGGGAGGGGTTGTGGTGTAACCCTAGCCCTGGAGGACCCCGCCTGCTCGATCAACGAACATCCATATTGTTGTCGGTGAATCTTCGGTCGGCGAGAAACCCCCGAAAATAACGGCGTTAGGTTGTTTCAATAGGAACATCAAAAATACCTCTAGCTGCCGAGAATATCCAGTTTGGTTTTAGCATTAATATCGATATCCTGGAGGCGTTTTTACGTAGACAATCGATCCTGTACCAACTTCTACTGCTTGGGGGTATTCTATACCTTTACTCTTGGTCTCTTCTCCTTGTACCTGTATCCCATATTATTTTAGACGCTTGAAAATATAAGCTCTAACTACTGAACAGAACTTCTTCAGACCAAAGTTCCATATAAATACAAATTTAAACATTGTTCTTTTGTAATTAGCTTGGCTTCATGTCTGTTTGTTACTCCAATTCCGGTTAACCCCTTGCGAAATGCAAGACATTCAAGCTAATATGTGTGTTTCTGAAGAGAAGTCTATAGATCTAGGTGTTAAAATACACTAGATCTAAGTACTCTACCACGCATAGACATGATTGATGGAGGAATGTCACGAATAATCTGATTACACTAGGTATCCTAATTATACACCTTCTTCCCCAAATCAAAATCAAATGGAGAGGAAATATCTCAAGGGGAAATATTTATAACCGAGGTAGAGATCTGAATGAATCCATGCCACTACTATCAATATGTAACTGTAATCATGCGATGTCACTCGATAAAGCTCGAACTCTTCACAAAATAAGCGCTAGGGGATAAGGTTTAACGCACTAAGCACTAGCACACTTGAGGGGGCTTGGGTCAGGTCGTAGAGGATACGTCATCCAGAGACTATGAGACATCCACCGTGATTAGAGGTCACAGACAACCATCTCACATCCCCTCATCTCATCACCATCAGCCTCAGCATCATCAACATCATCAATATCATCATCAGTCCGTTTCTTCGACGTACCTCCCTCGTTGACTTCGTGGATGTAATCTATGTTTTACAAGCTTCCTCTCTTACACTGGCTATTTGAGAATTATCTGGTAAGTAGGGACCCACGCATGACCGGCTATTGTCATTTACTCACCTCTCATGAGTCACTTTCGTGAGACAAAGTTCGCGGGATTTATGAAAGATCCTGTATCTTTCTTCCTTCAGCAGACACATCAAATTCGGAAAATCCTTTACACAACCACTTGTGATTAATTCCGCTATTCACCCAAACAATCTTTTTTAAAGAAAAGTAAAAATGATTAGAGTCTATTGATTCGTTCGGATCAGAGATACCGGCCGGGCAGCTCAAAGTGGTTACTATACTTTTTCGGTATACGATTTCACATGTGTAAGGACCCCCCATGTACTCCTAATAATGGAACCAGGGTTTTTTTATCCCGGTAAGTAGTACATTACATCAAAGTACACACGCAGGTACCATCACGAAGATTCTGGGTGATGTAGGATGTAGTTGCACGTTTTGAAGAGAATCTATCTAACCTTTTCTATTAGAATTCCCTATATACTTTTTTTCAGCTTGTGTTTAAGAATATTTACAACCAATTACCTAATTTGGGATACCTTGCATAACTTGAGAATCCCGTATCGGTTACGGACCAACCAGGCAACGGTACGGTATGAGAAGCAAGTGAAACCTCAACCTCGCGATCGCTTCTTGCAAGTACATGTGCGACTCTACTATCGTCCCGTGGATGCAGTAGTCTACTGATCACTAGATCGACTACCAAAATCCGTCAAAATTGTGTTTCCTACTAGACGGGTAAACGGATATCACCTGGCTGGGTAAGCGGCAAGATCAAATCATTTAATGGGAAAAAAGAAAGAAAAAAAGAAAGAATTCCTACATCACATAGTAGATTTGGTGAGCAATTTTTAGGATTTTGTTGCAGTGACTATTCTGAACGCACTACCGATCGCATATGTATTCATTATATTTGGTACATAAATTTATAAAGCTGAAGGTTATTGGGCTTTGCATTCAGCTTGAACACGGCGCGCTTTGACGTCTAATAAATATATATAGGCATAAGAATTTTCTGTATTTATTGCATCGGGCCAGGTCCCGGAGGGCGGAGGAAAAAGAGGAGGCAGTAAAAGCCGAGATCGGACGGCGCCAGTTCTCGGCCGGAATAAACGTTCAGTTATAGATTTATCTTTTTTTAAACGACGATGAAGGTCTAAGTGCTCGTGTGAGATTGACCACGAGGTATAGTGTTTGATCTACATGTACGCATGCGCACCCCTCTAATCCTATTTAATTGTACGACGAACGGGATTCAACATCTCCGGTTGGTCTGATTAACTTTCGATAGAATTACTGAAAGTAATACGCATTGCATCATTCGGGAAATGTCTCAGATCATAGCCCATAACTAATCAGCATAATTCAGTTTTTTTTTCTCTGCACGGAATTAAATATCTCCGAGTTGGCGAAGATATACGATGCGCTTACTGAATTAATCGGCACCATTGGTTCTCTTTACTTCTTTGAGTATACTCGTGCATGCACGAGTGCATGCATGTGGAATCGAACTCTACCACTTCGACCACTTGAACAATTTCACTAGCCCATTAGAATGATTAACCAGATCACCAAAGACTTATATAATGGGTTGGATCAAGATGCTCTACTAACCGCCTATGACCCAAGGAGGAAGCTCGCATAACAGACCGTCTATATAGCTATTATAATATGGGGCTGTGACCTGGGAAACTAGCGACACGGTTGTTTAATCCGCGTCTCATGGGTACCATTACACTTGACTTGTGTCCCTCATTTAAACCTATTGAGGTCCAATCCGGGGAAACAATGATGGCCACCCAGGTTTCTTGGCGGATGGGGAGCAGCTTCCTTATCTGATCTATTTCTTCCCTGAAGTACCGCATGTTCGAGACCCTCCACCACTACCGCCGGCCTATTGTGGTGGTTACACGGCTGTAGGTTAAATATTCTACGTTTCGGTTGGTCCGGCAATGGTGTTAGCGTGCCCTAACTGCTGATACGAGCTTAATGAGAGTTTGTACCACGATGCTAACCTACACACACGTAGTTGTGGTGGGTGTGTATTACCCTACTTACCTTTCGGTAGAAATCAGCTGAGTTTTTCAGCTTCATACATAATCACTCCGATTTGGCGATTACGGGTTATGAGTGGCTGAATGACTAGAGGCAGTGCCAATTAAGGAAACATATACTCACCTATCTTTAGAATTTTACCATTGCGTAGCTGGCCAGCACTAGTATAGTGTGCGCGTCTGTGTGAGCGCAGCTAGCTTCTAAGGCAACCATAGCAGAATACCCGCGTCTACACATACCTTCCTCTCGGCAGTTTATTTCTCGAAGACGCTTATCATATAGTCATGCAGTAATAAACATTTTGCACCATGATGCTCTCCCAGCGGTAGGAAACATTTGCCCCACCTGGGTAACGAAACGCAGGGAAAGGTAAGAACACCTTCGGTACAGCACGTGGTATTAGTACCGGGAACGGGAATACCCATGTTCGCTTGCTAGGAAAAGACATTGTGGTTGAAGATCTTCGTTTTGCCCAAGGCGCCAGGATCAGCGGCTATTTGTGTCCGAAGCCCTAACTCTAACAAAACCATGTATGCTTGATTCAGCAAATGGCTTGGCAAATAGATCCTACCAGTGCTGGACCTGAATATTTACTTTACCGCGAGTGTGATCTTGGGCGAGCGTGTGAGCTAGAAATACGTGCATGTTTTGACGATAGACTCATTCGTATGACAGCAGGAAAAATATCTTTGAGTATTGGTAAATGACAGGCTCATCAGGTTGTTAGGATCATACTTGTTCAAGAGTAGCCTTGAGCTGACCCGCAGCTCAGAATGCAGTCAAGATTTGATGGATTACAAAAGATACAACTAAGTAATTAGTTACAAAGATTATCCATGAATCTTCCTCGCTTACTAGAGGAATCGTATGCTAATTGTTACTATTCAGCAAGGTGATAATCATAAAATATCACTCGACCCATTATGATTCACAACCGCCGTGCTTGGAATCCCAAACGAAACCGCAAGGCTTACATTTGCCTTAAAAACAATATAAAATCTCACTTTACCCAGATACGTTTTCAAAAGTGCCTCATAACTTAAGTGCCGTCATATATCAATTGTCGTTAAGGCATCACGAGATCCTTCTTTTCCCTCATCCCGTGAATAGCTAGGCGCGAAATGAAAACAAGGCAAACATCATCATTCACTTATTCAACCATTTACAAGCAAGAACCAGAACAGAACAGCTTCCTCTTTCGATAAACGTCCTAAGGATGAGCGAGAGGCCGTATCCGCAAGAAATCTCCGGACATCCGAGGAGCAAGATTCAATCTATGGTATAATGCTTTAGTCGACTTGTCATATGATCTGTAATCGGGGCAATAATACCTGCGGTGAATGCATTCAATATTCTAGGATTTACCCCACTATGCCATAGTTGTGGATATCAAGGCAATGCAGGTACTAACTAACATTTTGCATTCGATAACATATGTGCCGTGCTGCTGCGGTTCACTTCCCGCAGCTTCCAGTTTGGGAAATTGTTAGAAAAGTTGAATCTATTACCATTTCGATTTCATGGAGGCCATGCATGATCGGATCACAAAGATTGGAAGGTACCGGATGCTCACTGTTCCCGGAGATTTTTGCGGGGGGTGGGTAAAGATGAATATTTATGCAAACATATAGTCGACGCACATATACACTGTCTTTACCGTCTACCTGGGTGGTTACTATGTATGTGCTACAGCATATGCCGCTCAA